GAGATATAATTGGCTGAAGGATGGTGTCAACTATGGGTCAATCTGGTGGAGGGACCTGTGTAGGCTAAGTGAAATTGAAGAAGGAAAAAGAGGCTGGCTAGATAATGATTTGAAACTAAGAGTGGGGGAAGGGGTAGACATCAACTTTTGATGGGACGTGTGGTGTGGGGGGGAAAGTTTAGCTAATTAAGTACCCTAGACTCTACTTGATATCTGCAGGGAAAGATAAAAGAATACCTCAAATGGGAAAGTGGCATGAAGGCTCATGGAAATGGAACTTACAGTGGAGAAGAAGCATGTTCAGCTGGGAAGAACAACAGGAAGCAGAACTTCTATTCGAGATCCAAAATACAAGAACAGAACGAGGAAAATCAAACGTGTGAGAATAGACACATAGCAAGGATGGCAACCACATGTCAAAATCAGCATATCAATCACTTATACTTCGAAACTCAGGAGTGAACAACAATGGTCAGTTTTACAAAAAGTATGGCATGCATTTATTCCAAATAAAATTTTGGCATTTTCGTGGCAAATGTTGCAAGACAAAGTCCCAACAAAGGTTAATTTGTTGAAAGGGGCATTATACAGGACATAGCAGAGTGCAAATGTGACTTATGTGGCATGGAAATTAAAGACTCCAACCATCTTTTTATACATTGTAAAGTAGCCTTTGAACTTTGGGCCGTTTGTTTCAAATGGTAGAGAATTAGGACTATGCTTGACAGGGATTGCTGGAAGGTGTTTGAGCAGCACTCTAACATGCTAAGAAACTCGGGGGAGAAAGAGGGGTGGGAATGCATATGGTTCACAATTGTCTGAACTATATGGTTAGCTAGAAATGAGAAGTTATTTAGAGCAAAGGAGGCGGATAAGGGAAGGCTACTGGAGTTGATCTAGTTAAAGGCTTACAACTAGTTTAAAAGCAAAATGCGAGATTGCTTTTTCTCCCTATTAGATTGGATATAGAACCCAGCAAGCTGCTTAAGGATCAACTGCAGTAGAAGAAAGAAGAGGTACAAAGCTACAAAAAGGAGGGTCTAAGTTTAGCGTGCAATAAAGGGTCCACTACCCTACTGCTCGGCAAACAAAATATGTAAAGGTCCTTGAGGAGGTTGAAAGTTAACTATGTGTAATGGGTTTGGAGTACCCCCTCTACTCCAAAAATAAAATCCTTTTTTTTTTCAAAAAAAAAAAACCTCTTGTACTCCATTAATAAAATAAGGGTTTGTTTAAACTATATGTTTAAGGGAGTTTTAAATGCAATTTTAATGCATTAATTTACATAAAACGTAAAAAAGTTAACATTAATTTTAACATTTTTAATATATGGATATTTTTAATTGGATATTTAATAAATTTAATGTCAACTTTTTAATTTAATTTCAAATATTAATGATAAAAGGGTGTAATAAACACCCTTATCCTATGCCCTAAGCCCTAAGGGCACAAGATAGAAAATCCCATAAAATAATTTTTGCTGTTAAAAAAAGAAAAACAAATTGTTGAAAAGTGGAGAGAAGGACATTGAAATTTAAAATTAAAATACGATTCCAATATTTTTCAAAGTTTATAACCAACTCCATTTCGGTAAACTAAAGTTCAGGGAAATTCGGCCTTATCGATACGGAAATCATCATTCTGGACTTGAACCCAGGATCTCATGTCTATCATCAAGACTGGTTTGCTCCAAGTTTGCAAGGTGATGCGTTGAAAAAGAAATTAATTTTTTTTAAGTGTTAACTCTAAAATTTAAATTTTAAAGGCATAAATTTAACTTAAAAGATAAATATATACAATCTCAAATTTCATTTTCCTTTTTTATTTTTTGTCCAAATTTTGTAAAGGTAGAGATTCTTTCTTCTTCTTTATCTTTGGACAAGTTCAATTCATCAGAGTAATAATTATATATCCATATATGGCAGAATTTTCCAGGCTACCTCACTCATTCAAATTAGGCAATAAGCATCCATATTAGATGCAAACACAATAGACCTGAGAATCTTGTAAAAAGACCCAGTAAGTTAAAATTGTGAATTAATAAACATCATATAACTCTTACCCTAAGATTACCTAATTTCAATAAACACTCTAAAATTTCATTCAAAATTATCTAATTTTAAAAAGATATTTATTAAAAACAACTTAATTTTATGGCTAATAGTCACTTTTTCTGTATACACGCACAATTAATAGGCAGACCATTTTTAAAGAAACAAAAATGCTATGGAAAATGTGTAAATTAGATGCATAGATGAATATTTTAATGCATGAGTATATGCCATGTCCCCAGCCCCACATTTCTTTGAACTGTTAAAGGATCTGATGCTTGTTTCCATTGCCATAATTCAGGCACATTTTAATGGATACTCCTATTGTCCTCCTTTGTCTATATAAGGACCTTAGTTGATAGCGAATATTCATCAAAGACAACAAAGCAAATAATCAGATTACTTTATTGTAAGTTTGAGTGAAGAAAAATGTCAACTTCTGCGGCTTCGGAAATGGGGTTCAGGGATTATCCAACAATCTCACCAACATGGCCCCCTGTAACCTTGGCACTGGTTCCGGAAGCCAGAACTATGGACAAGGTTCAGGATCTAACCACCTTAATGGGGGACACTTTAACTTCAGCCCAAGCCTTGCTCTTGGCAATCCTTGTGGTGGCCCTGTCAACATAGGCCCTGGTGCTGGTGGCCGGACGAACGTTCTGCTGCTGGAAGTCTTGACATTTTCAAGGCACCAGCCAATCTGGCATCTGGATTCCCTTGTTTTTAGAGTTGTACTCTATGTACTTTCCTAATTATAGCAGCAGAAGCTGAAGGTATTAAGTAACTCTTAATGCTATAAGTATAAATATTAATAATAAATTCTGCCGTTTGATTATATAATTCTGAAAAATATATCATAATTATTTTGGCCAAAACTGAGTGCACTTTATTAGTGAAAGCTTGGAATTCCAAGTACTAATTAACTTTGGCTTAATTCAATTATTGATCTATTAACTATTAACCTAATTTTAATTTGTCTAAAAAGTTAATTTTCTTTCTAAATTGTCTATAAACTTTGTAAAATATTTCAAAATAGTCTATCATACAAAATTTTCATTAGTTTTGACAAAAAAATAATAGAAAAGTTAATTCAAAATTAAAATAAAGTAATCCCAGTCAACAAAGCAGTTCACAATAAATTATACAAAATATTAAAATATGTCAATAATTGAGGTTTTTACCACAAAAGAGAATTGTTAAAAGGAAAAACTAAAGTATAATGTAATAAATGTTATAATTTCTAAGTAAGACAATGAAAAGAAATTTATCATCCTCATAAAATTAGTTTTATGTCAAAATTAATTTTGAGTAAAATTTCACCTAAAAAAAATAATTGAAGATCAATTTGACCAAATAGAGTGAAAGTACTATTAGAAAGTTAACAAACTAGATTAAATTAAAACAAAAGAAAAAGATAGTAAATGAATCTAAAAGTATTTAAAGATAATAAATGAAACAAAACAAAAAAAAAAAGTTACTAAATTATTTATTAAATTAAGCCAATTAACTTTAAACTAAAGTAAAATGTTAAACTTTCTCATGTGAGCGGTTTTCTTAATTAGCAATACTTTCCCAATTGAGCGCTTTCTCAATAAGTTTTCTTAATGCATTGTGAAGAACAATCAAAGACAATACTTCATCATACACCACTGAAAACCCTTGTACTCTAAATTAATATAAATATGTTTTGCCTTTCAAAAAAAAAAATCATACACCACCGAAAAAAAAAAAAAATTGTTCTTTCATTATAAAAGTAGTAGATCTGTTAGAGCTTATCAAATAGCAAGCTAGTGATATGAATTGGTTAAAAAACGACAAAACACAAAGTTTCATTATATAAATAGGAAATGATACATGGATAATTTTTTTATAATTTTTATATATTATTAAATATATATATATAAAGTTAGTACGTATTAATCTTGATTTTCAAAAAAAAAATTAAAGTCTCAATCTATATTTAGAAATTGAAATCTCAATTTAAAATTTAGATATTTAATCAATTTTTAAATTTAAATATTAATATTTAATAAGATAAAATTTTAAATTTTAAATTGAGTTTTAATTAAATAAAAATTAAATCCTTAATTTTTTCCCTCAACTATTGTACGGATCTCGATTTGGCCCTTAAACTTAAAAAGTTTCTGATTTGGTTCCTACTATTTACTAATTTAACTTCAAGTTGATCCTTCCATTAAAAAACAATTTATGTTTCTCGTTATTAACATGAACATGTGACTATTAAGTAATAGTTTTTTACCAATAAATAACAAACACGTTAGTCATTTTTTAATAAAAGGACCAACTTACAACTAAATCGATAAATAGTAGGATCAAATTAGGGATTATTTTGAGGAAAAGGATCCGGACGGAGGTTATGGTATTCTGGAAGGGATGAAAAACCCGACATGGTCGTGGTGTCGGCACTTTATTAGGGTGTCGACACCAATCGGAGGAACTGAGCTGCCAAATCTCCGACATTGATTTGGTGTCAACACATGATATAAGTGTCGACACCTAACGGGAGGGCTACTTGACTGCATCATAATATAAAATGTTTATAGGTTTGAGGTACCCTTATACTCCGTTTCAATAAATATTATTTTTGCTTTTCAAAAAAAAAAAATTAAAGATTATTTTAGTTTAAGGACTCAATTAGGAGTCCATACGATAATTGAGGGACCAAATTGAAGGTTTAACCTTAAATAAAATAACATAGTTTGAAGTTAGGACCTTAAATTTTTTTAGAGTTGAGACTTATATGCATTTTTCCCTATATATAATATTATAAGTTTTAATAAAAAAAGATTTAGTTTGACAATATTGTCCAATGCTGCCCTATAACTGTAGTTATTAAAAGTGCTGTATTATTTTGCTATAAAAAGTATTTTAGTATTTAGTAATTATATTTCAAAAAAACTATTTATTGTAAAATTACTCAATTAGATAGGTTATCATTAAAATTAAATTAATTAAAATTTTAACATATAATGTACAAAAAAGATTTTGAAATTTCAATAAACTATTTAAGAATTCTATTAATTTTGGATAAAATGATTTTTGTATTCTTTTTCAAAAAGAGTAAGGATAGATAATATACTAAATGTATAAGTTATAAAAAGTTCGGTAGATATTTGCAAAAACTACTATAAAGTATGTTGTCAAATTAAGTCAAAGTAAAGTAAAAGTGATAATCATCAAAATTATATAAAAAAATTATCTTTTCATTATTTTCCTTTCATTATACCAGTTAGTTATTGTGGCATAAATGTTGTATTTAATTGTAAAATCAATTGTTTATAATAATCATTCAAAATTGAAATTTATAACATGAAGGGATAAAAAAAAACAGTAAAATAAAAAAAATAAAAAACACTGAACCGAGATCAGACTAATAAAGTTCATTTATCAAAGTTAACGGACAAGTCGTGTCTATCCATTTTCTTATGAAGCTTTAGTCATCCCACGATTCGACCTTACCTTATCATCGTTTATTTTTGGACGGTTTCCAATCTCGATCATTGTCTCTTTTTTTTTCCTTTTTCCTTTTAATACTATAATTACCTGTAAAATTGTTTATAATACACATTTAATTTAACATATTTTTTTATAATTATTTTAATTTAATTATTAAAATATAATACAAATACAATTAATTTAGTTGATTCTTACATTTATATGTATATATGGTTATATTTTTAAATTTATTTATTTTTTACTTTACATTAAAATATAATAATTTTTAATAAATATTTTTTACAATATATTAAACTAAAGTTTGTAATAATTAATGTCTTTAATATTACTATTTCTACTATTCTCTTTAAGATTCTTTTTTATTTTAAATGAGAAGAAGGGTGTTCCAAGTGAAGCACAAATCTTGAAATTAATTCTTTGTCTAGTCAACTAAGGGGTACATTCTCTATATCAATTTAATGTACTGAAATAAATTAAGTTTTTTAAGTGTTGACCCGAAAATTTACACTATGAAAGCCTGAAAAAAACCTTCTTTTTTTTTTATTTTGGTTGCACAATGGAAAACAACCATCTCATATCCTTTATTCCATTCCGCACGCATGTTATATGACTCGAACTTAAAACCTTTTATTTCTAGCGAAAAGAAATAACCATTAAGTTATTTAGGTAGTTGACAAAAAACCTGAACATAACTTATAAGATGAAAACAGTTTCTTTTTCATTTTCTTTTTCTATATTTATTGTCCAAAGTTTGTAAAGGCAGAGATTCTTTGTTCTTCTTTATCTTCGGACGAATTCAATTCCATCAGAGTAATAATTATATATCCACATATGGCAGAATTTTCCAGCGTACCGCACTCATTCAAATTAAGCATCCATATTAGATGGGGACGCAGTAGACCTAAGATTCTTGTAAAATGACCCATGAGTTACTATTGTGAATTAATAAAACATCATATAACTTTTATTCTAAAATTACTAATTTCTATAATCGCTCTCAACCCATCCAAAATTACATAGTTTTAAAGGGATGTTTATTTAAAAAAAAATTAATTTCATGGCTAATAAACACATCTTCTATATATATATATATATATATATATACATAAACTTAATTAATAGGTAAGCCGTTTTTAAAGAAATATAATTATTAGTATACTATATGTTCAATACATTGTATAATATATTAAAATTTTATTATTTTTTAGTCTAAAATTAAAAGCAAACAAATTTAAAGATTTAACTATGCATATACAACATATATAAATTAGCAGAATCGAATATACTTATATTCTATTTTAATAGTTAAATCAGACAAGTGTTAAAAGATATATTTCATTGGAAGGTATACCAGTCATTTTCAAGAAACAAAAATGCTATGGAAATGTGTTAATTAGATGCATAAATGTATATTTTAATGCATGAGCATATGCCATGTCCTCATTTCTTTGAATCGTTAAAGGATTTGGTGCTTGTTTGCATTGCAATCACATGCCGGTTCATTTTGAGTGATGTTATTGCCACACCCTCAATTACTAATGCCACACCTTTTTATTTTAATTGATCATTATACCCTTTAATTTATTACGAAACAAAAAAATATAAATTTTCAAGGAAAAGTATAATGTTAAGGTATAATAAACAATTACATTAAAAAAAGCGTGGCATTAACTATTAGGGTGTGGCAATAACCCCACCCGTTCATTTTAATGGATACTCTTATTATCGCATCCTCCTCCATCTATATAAGGACCTTAGTTGATAGCAAATACTCATCAAAGACAACAAAGCAAATAATCAAATTACTTGATTATAAGTTTGGAGTGAAGAGAAATGTTGAACTTCTGTAGCTTTAGAAATGGGGTTCAGGGTTTGTCCAACAATGGAAAAATACTCAAATCCACCCCCAAAGTATAGTGGCAAGGATGGATCCACCCCCAAATAAAAAACGGAGACAAATTCACCTACAAAGTTTTCGACTTGGACAAATCACTTTAAATTTAACGTGCGACGTCATCTGACGTCAACAATCCATTAATTTATTATGTCGCTAATAACGGATTGCTGACATTAAATGACGTCAAATTAACGGATTACTGACATTAGATGACTTCACACGTTAAATTTGGGGTGATTTGTCCAAGTCAAAAATTTTGTGGGTGGATTTTTCCTTGTTTTTTGTTCAAGGTGGATCTGTCCCTACCACTATACTTTAGGAGTGGATTTGGCTATTTTGCCTCCAACAATCTCACCAACATAGCCCCTTGTAACCTTGGCACTAGTTCTGGAAGCCAAAACTATTGGAAAAAATGGCATAGCAAAATGAAATAGTTTTTGTTAACAAAACAGTGAACAA